TGTTGTGGATAATTTATTGTTGATAACAATGTACATGGGATTTAGGAAAAATGTATATGTTTGAAATCAATTTCGTTTTTATCAAGTCTTTCAAATGTATTCCCTCCTTGCTGTCAGCTGATTGCGACGTTGCCACATTAATCCTCAAGTCAGACAGAAATGCAATTATTGGTTTCTGTTTCTAATTAATACAGCTGTACTATGTTCAAAACTTACACTAGTTTTACATCAAAAATAATATAATAATGTGTACTATCTATGCAAAAGTTTTGTTTCACAATTTCTACATTTCTTTCTGTTATAGGCAAAAAAGAGCCGCACCGTTCATCTTCGCTATATAAACCTATGTTAAAATGAACAACTTTCAACAACAATATCTCAAAATCTAGATTTAAAAAAAAATTCAAAAAAATATGGCGCACACAGGGAGCACTGAGTAATACGCTATATAAATTTCAAGTACATCTGTGCATTTGAGTAAACCCGAATACCTCCTTAATAACACAAATGTTATGATTTCTAAATTGACCGGAACATAATTGTGATTTCCAAAACTTCACTTTGGATATAAATATTAGTAACAAATAAATACAGATAAATATTCTGTTGTAATCCTTTCATTGTCATATTATTGGTGGCAACACTAAAAAAATGTATTTACAAGGCTCCAATGCTTGTTTGAAATCTGCGTGCACGTCCTGTAAAGGACCGCTTTCTGATCTTAGCATGTAAATAACAATTTAAAAACAGTTCAGCGAAGAAATCATGTTCCTAAAAATTGGCGATTCAGAAAAATGACTATTTGCTAAATACTAATAAGAATAATGTATTTGAGCAAACAACAGTATTGAGCTTGTGTAAATTTGGATGTACTTGAGTAAAGTCTGGCGTTATACAGGGTGATTTCAAAAGTGGGGTCACAGAATAATATAGAAGCGAATGGATATTTCCGCCAATATTCATTATTTGTAAAGTTATCTCAATAATCCTCAATTTTTTAAATTTTTTATCAAAAAACAATAAGAACGTCTGCTTAGATTTTCTGTACGACCATTAGTTACAACGATAAAAATTTTGGACTTTTAAGCCCTGAAACTAGAAACTTCAAGCTTCAATTTGCCCTTTTTTGATAGCTTTGATAGATGCGATCATTTTTCACCAAGTTACAGCCATTTGAAAACCACTTAATTTTTTTTCCTTTAGTTTTTGTGACTATAGGTGTTATATAATCTGTATTACCTTGTTCGAAACCAAATACTATTTAGCAGGGAGGGCGGAAAAATTTAGACAAAGTATTGAACAAAAATCAAATTGGGTGGTTTTATTTTAAGTACTATTGAAATATAGGCAAAATGTGCTCAATGACTTTTTTTAATAAAATTTGACATTTTCTGCACCATTGATTTTTCAATAGATAGCATTGCAATTGCTGTTAGTCTCCCTTTACAAACTAATTTACACTTTTACAATTTTTTAAAAAATACACAAGAAACAATATGTAGTCAAAAGAGTTTTACGTTTAATAAGAAAAAAAGCGGTAAATAGCTATTATTTGGTTACGGATGGGCTAAACAGAGCGTAGTAGACCGCATAGTATATATGCGTTGCTCCCACTCCGTCTTTTACTGCTGCTCGACAGCAACCATGATCACCGCTGTAAACGCTTTATAGCTGTTTTACATTGACAATGTATTCATCAATAAATTGACGAAGTTCTTCATCAATTAATTCACGAAATTATTAATAAACAGTGGGGTTTTACACTGCTACAGACTTTGTCAAGTTTTTTGACGTATGAATCAGTTCTACCAATGAATCAAAGAAGCAAATAAATTTAAAAAATGTCACCTTTCCACTCATAATTGTAGTGATACAACAGCGGTACCGTTCTGACACATATTATATAAATATTAGTTTTTGTAAATAACAAATCAGTAAAAACAATGCAAAACTAGCACGACGCCACACAATTATTTACAAATTCCAATAACATAACCTCATTACTGATCTGAGGCTGGAAATTTGTTGGGTTGGTACTTCCGAACTTCACGAAGAAATTGACGAAAATTAGAACATGCTTCAAGAACTTGATGAATAAATTGATGAAGTTATTTGACAGCTGATTTGGTGCATTACACTTGTCCAATTTCTTGATGAAGCGACTTCATCAATTAATCGATCAATAAATTGTCAATGTAAAACAGCTTTTACAGATTTAGAGGCGAGTTTTTGCAAGTCAAATCAAACTGACTGCACATTACTTTAATATTTCCTTTTCAACGTGGTTCATAAGGCTAATCTACATTACGCAAAAAAATCATCGCAACAAAATTTTTCAACGAAGTTTTGCGCATAACTCCGTCAATTTTTATCGTATCAAGACGATTTTTTTTTCCATTTTGTAGGTAATTATCTGTACTTTAAGAAAAATTCTGTGCGAAATGGATGCGAATTGATACCGTATCTCTATGTTCTGATAAAGCCCAAGTTTTTTTTTTCTTAGAAAATTTGAGCTCCGTAAAGTGCACTTTCTAAAAAGCAATTTGAAAAAAGTCAAGTCGCCACTGGAGGTGACTATTATTAAATTATTATGTTGTTGAAA